CTTTCACATAATGGTATGATCCTAGTCTATCTTCCCATGTGATTAGCCGCATGTGTATTTTTTTTTTGTTTTTTTGTAACGAAAAAATGCGTAAAAATAAGGCTTTTATAAAAACACTGAATAAAAAATTGCTCACCAACACACAAACCATTCACAATTGCTAAATTGGGCTAAAATAGAAGGCTCCGGCTGAAGAGTCGGCTCTTCTCGTTCGCTACAAAGAATCGGCTCTTAGAGCCGGCTCGTTTGCGAATGACATCACTACGCTGCACGTGCTTACTGTTTACTCTATCATACACCGAACGCGTCATTCTGTTCGTGTTTTCACAGATTAAATGCAGCGATCCAAAAGAGTCAATCTAATCATCATTCAGACAAAACTTTGCTTCAAGAATGAGCCACACTGCTGACGTGATCTAATCACTAGCACACCCTAAGCATGTGAATTAACATATTCCTCTTATCGGCAAGACATATCGGCCTAATTTTTCATATCGGGCCGGTGACGATATTTACATTTAAAGCCATTATCGGCCGATTCCGATATCAGTCCGATAATATCGTGCATCGCTAGGTTTCAGATATGATTTTGTAAAGTACAAGTCATATGGACTACTTTTATGATACTTTTATTGTATAATTGCATAGAAACAAGCAATTAGTAGTACATTATTCAAATGTCTCCTTTTATGTTTCATGAAAGAAAGTCATACAGGTTTTAGTATTTACATGAAGGTGAAGAAATTATGACAGAATAATCATTTTTGGGCATCAGTACCTACCACAGTCCTCTGGAATATGTCCATTAATTAGACCCAAATCCCATGCTCTCTTAATGAGAGGAAATGGATACTGCAAAGAGGAAATCAAGAGTTTACTTTTTTTCCCCTCAAATCTAAAAATATATAAATGCAAAATGGTGGACACATGGATTTAAAAAACCTACTTCACCACTTTTGTCATATGACAGGGCAGCTGGGACAATCTCCTCCCGTGCAAACTTTCTTGCCACCTCCTGGAACTCTTTCTGCTGATCAGTTAGTTCTGTTAAATTGAGGAATAATGTGTTTGGATGATCTAGCAATGCCTTGGTTTTTTGAAAACACAGTGAGCAGAGGATGATAATACATACCAAAGCTGAAGCCTCCAAGAGATTCTTTCAATGCAGCAGTAGCTGCTCTGGCACTAGCTTGAGGTCCAGTACTCTGAAACCTAAGTCCAGCCTGAAAACCTGCCCTCAAAACCTGTTGGACAATGATTAAATACACATTTATGCACTGACATAACAGTTTTAAAGATTTATCAGTGCAGATAATGTCCCTACAGCTAACAAGGAAATGATTAAAATAATAGACAAACCTACCTATATACAACATTATTGCACTTAATCACTTTTATTTTATTTTAATTGTATAAAATAAAAATTAATAAAATCGCATAAAGAATGAGTATGTTACACTATATTTATTTACATACAGTATGACAAGATAAGGTTGTTTATAGACAGGGTTATAAAAGTAAAAGTGAATCTACAAGCAGGAGAAGAGCTGAAACTTTATTAAATTTACCAATTAACTCATCACAATAATACGGAGCCCGGGAAGTCACCTGTAGGAGGAAAAAAAAACAATCCGTGGCGACGGTTTTGCAATCCGTCCCCTCAGTCTACTATGGAAAATAATGTTTTTAATAAACACAATACTATGCGTGGTTGAATCTGCCGGTGGGGGCGGGGCCACAAATCCATGAGTTTACGGTTTACAAACCCGAGGGAACGGATTGCGAAAGCGTTCGCACGGATTATGAATTTGTGGGTACGGATTCAAAATCCGATGGTACGGTTTACAAAATCTGAGCGCACGGATTGGAAATTCGTGGGTACGGTTTATTAATCCGTGGGCACGATTTGTTAAACCGAGGGAACAGTTTAAGAATTCGTGAGTACGGTTTATAAACTGAGGGGACGGATTGCAAAACCGTCGCCACGGATTGTTTTTTTTCCTCCTACAGGTGACTTCCCGGGCTCCGTACTACGTACAATTAGGAAAACTACATACGCTAATTCCAGATGCAATGATTTTCTCACTAATTTAACTGCGTAGACTAGCTGTTGGAATTCAGCTAATTTAACTACCAAGCGCTAGGCTAGCTTTCTCTTAATTTGAGATGAATAAAATTGCGAGTATGTGCAAAATAAAAACTGTTCAACAATTACGTCAATAGAAATGCGTACTTACCTTATTAAAAATCATCGTTATTTCTTAGTGACAATGCTCAGATCCTTCAATGTCCTTACAATGTTCACCCCCAGAAAACATGAAGTACTAACCAATCATCGGCCTCTGTTTTATCACGTGATTAAGCACCGTCGCTCTAGTGACTTTTGCCCTACTTTTATTATACAACGCCAATGACAAAAATATAACATCTGGTTATCCATATTTACTTCAAAAACATCAAGAACATTAGTCAAATTAAAGAAAATCGTGTCTTTAATGAACGAATTCATATTTTGCTTAAAAAAATGATTTCTTCAACCTTCTTTTCTGTTTTTTCTGGAAAACAGCCCACTGAATAGAAATGAGCAATTCATTCAAAGAGAATAATACTTATCAAAATAAAAATAAGCAAAAGAATCGACATTTTCAGTTTTATTCAATTTGAACAGTTTTATTCAATTTTAAAAAAGGGTAACTTAGTGTAACAGGCAGTGTATCCAGTAGGGGGAATGAGTAAACACACATGGGCGGATATCGCCCTTTAGACTGGTGGAGATACATAGCTGTCTTGACGAGTAGAATATTGATTACTTTTTTAAGGGAAGCAGGGGTTTTAAGCAGGATTTGATGTATGATGTGTGTGTGGATATTAATGTGAGGGGACAATGTGAGTGATGTGTAAGTTTTAGGGGGAAATGGGAATAGTTAACGATTATCTGATCCACACTCCGGAGCAGAAGGGGGCGGTAATGCACCAATAAGTTGGATGCCAACCGCCGTTAAACTGGAAAGAAGAAGAAGAAGAAGAAGCTGTCTTGACAGATGCCAGTATCCGCGAGAAAGCTCTGGCGGGAGTAACAATGCTCAACTGTATCTAGACCTTTTGTCGTACGGTTCGTTTATTACACCGGATCTCAGTAAAAGCGGACAAACCGGGAAAGCATATGCGAGGGTAATGCTCGCTGACGGCCGAACTGCTCAGTGTTGGTGTTGACACATCCTCAGCTAGCTCTCGGCTAGCGCACTCAAACTTGAGGAGGAGATGTCTCCAGACGACAACCCTCACACCCTCTTGGGAAGGATACGGTTTTTAAACAAGTGCATTGAGTGTTTCCGAAAAAGTGAAGCTCTGCCCGAGTCCCTGTGTTACGTGCCGAAAGAGGTTTGCTACAAAATCTGTAAGGACTCGTCGTCGGGCTCCGCTTCCGCGTCTTCGTCAACAGCTGGCAACTCAGGAGGCAAGAGTGTGGTGTCGGTGTGGGAAAGCCCACATCAGGCTCCACACAAGAAATTATGCAAGTGTAACATCGAGCCCAAAAAAGGCACATGTATACGGACAACAGGGGAAGAGTACTGCAACAGCCACGGTCTGTGGGTCAAAATAAGCAAGGTATATGCACTATTTGTTTGGGCTGTTGTCGGGAACTGGTGTCTGAAGGTATTTTGATTGATCTGCTGTATCATTATTGCTCTCTGAATACACAGGACTTCCTGGTCCGTAATGTGTGTGTGTGTGGCTCTCAGAATTTTCCACTCTTCTGATCAATGGGCATTCAAATGTGAGTCAACCTGTTTTGTTTGTCACTGTGATTGTTTGACTGTTCTGTCCATCACAGGAGCAGCTGGAGGATTATCGTGCTGGCCTGGCTCTTGACATAGAGGAGGGCTGGATCCTGGTGTGTAAACACACAGAAGGTGGAGACAGGCTTGTGCCGGTGGAATCTCCCGACACTGTCAGCCGCCAGCAGCAGCTGTTTGGTTATGACCACAAGCCGTGTAGCAGGTCTGTGTCACCATTGGCCACCATTCTCTAATTCACTGATCCATGATGTACATAACTTCAGTTTATTGAACGGTAAAATTGTGAGCAACATGTTGGGAGCCAAACGTCCAAAAGTCTGTGGTCAGTTTTTTTTTTAAAGGAATTACTACTTTTATTCAGTAAGGATTGAACAAATGATCAATAGTGGCATTAAAGACATTTATAATCTTACATAAGATTTCTGTTTCAAATGAATGCTGTTCTTTTGAACTTTCAAATGGAAAAGGATCATGGTTTCCACAAAAGTATTAAACTGTTTTCAATATCGATAATAATAATAAATGTGTCTTGAGCTCCCAATATGGCATATTCAAATGATTTCTGAAGGATCATTTGACATTTGATCATGTGACACTGGAGTAATAGCTGCTGAAAATTCAGCTTTGCCAACCCAGGAATACATCTAAATATATTTTAAAATATTATTAAAATAGATAACAGCTATTTTTAATTGGAATAATATTTTACAACATTACTGTTTTACTCAATATTTGATTGATTGATTAATGCAGGCTTGGTGAGCATAAAAGGCTTTAAAAAAAAACTACAGACCACAAATCTTTAAACAATTGTATTTGCTTTATTATAGCAGAAAATGGTTTTGCAGTCTTACGGTAACACCTCAGTCAATTATTTTAAAGTGCCCCTATTATGCCTTTTTGAATATTACCTTTCATGCAGTGTGTCATGTAGCTGTATGTGAACATAAATTATCTGCAAAGTTGTGAAGCCGACAGTGCACGATAAATAAAGTTATTGTCTATCAAAAAAAAAAAGTCGGCTCGCAATCGCCTAAACGAGTCGTCAGGAATTCGAATCTTATTCTGTTACGGCTCTACGTCATGAAGTAACACATTTGCATAATGTCTGCATTAATGTTCTAAGTTACTTCGCCAACTTGCCCACCCACAAACAGTCAAATTTCCCTGTGGTTAACATCATGTCGAGAAGACGCTGTATCCTACGCTGTGAGAGTAAATTTGTTTTATCACATCTTATAATTACCACAAACTTGTTAACACTTGACACTTACCACTGAGAAACATCCTGCTCCAGTCGTGCTTGCGAATCAGTCTCTTGTCAATCAGCCAGTTCAACCGTTTCATCATCAGACTTCAGCTCGAATTGGTAAGGTACAATCGATACCATCTTTTCTATGTATTGACAAGTCTCCAGGGCTGTCATTCCGTCATGGCAATGGGCGTTTCGTTTCCGACACGCGCTGTACACGGTAGACCAATCCAGAGCCAATCCCTCTACGGCTCTGGACCAATCACAAAGGACTGCGCCATCTGACCAATCACAGCAGTGAGGGCTCACAGAAAGGAGGGGTTTAGAGAGACTGATTCTTTGAACTGCTTCGCACGAGTCGTTGACGAATCATTTAGAAATGAGGTAAAAGTAAATCTATTTTTTGAGAAAACTAACGTGTTTTTTGACCTTCCATGCATGTAAACCTGTTTTAGAAGACTCATAAAACAATATTAGCAACCTTAAAAATAGCATAATAGGGGCACTTTAAAGTATTTTCAAATAAAAAAAATGACATACTTAACATTTAAGTAAAGGAGGTGACCTCGTCTTGGGCGTTTCAAACAAACAAAGACCTTTTATGAAAATCCCAAGAGGCTTTTTTTCTTGACTAGTGTTATTTTGAAGCTAATAAGCCTACAGTGCACGATAAATAAAGTTATTGTCTATCAAAAAAAAAAAGTCGGCTCGCAATCGCCTAAACGAGTCGTCAGGAATTCGAATCTTATTCTGTTACGGCTCTACGTCATGAAGTAACACATTTGCATAATGTCTGCATTAATGTTCTAAGTTACTTCGCCAACTTGCCCACCCACAAACAGTCAAATTTCCCTGTGGTTAACATCATGTCGAGAAGACGCTGTATCCTACGCTGTGAGAGTAAATTTGTTTTATCACATCTTATAATTACCACAAACTATATTAGCAACCTTAAAAATGGCATAATAGGGGCACTTTAAATATAAGCTGCCACTGAAATTTAACTGGGCGGTCTGACATATTCAGCTTAGTACTTGGATTCCCAGTCTGCGTAAAATGTATATTAATATATTAAAGTGTTGATTATAAATAACTGTATCCTGACAATTCAGTGAATGTAAAGTACCAACATTTTTCCTGAATGGTTTTGTAGGTGGGAGCAGGTGATGGATGTGGAAAACTCCTTACACATGGGTGCCAAACCCAAGGTGGCAGAGCCGGATGAGGTCGCTGTTCGCAAACTGAGGTGAGTGGATGCTTTGACACAAAAATGTAAAGAAAAAAATCTGCATGTTTGCACCACATGGCTTGCATTTGGTGAACAAGTCAAATTAATATATTCTAATATTAAGAAGCAGTTGTGTCAAGATATTTTGTTCCTAAGAAATAATGGTAATAACAAAATATTATTCCAAACTAAAGTTCTTTCTTTTTATAAGGCGTTTTTCTTTTTTTTTTCTTTTTTGAATAAATTAATAGATATTGGAATAAAAATGAGCATGATGTTATTGACCCAGATCTGCCTAATCCTGTGATGGATTGTATGCAAACTCTGTCTTCCAGGTATGTACCTCCTACATGGACGTTTGAATGTGATGAGGACCTAGTACACTACTTCTATGACCACATTGGGAAAGAAGATGAAAACCTTGGCAGCGTGAAGCAATGCGTGACCAGCATTGATGTGTCTTCTAGTTCGGTATGTGAGGGCTTAGTATTATTCTACATTATATTGAAGAGCAGAGAGCCATGAACATATCAGGTGTTCTAGACTAATAAGTGAGTTTTTCTGTTTGAAGGAGGACCCCAGTGGTGGCGCAAGCTGCCTGACAGATGGAGACACTGAGACATTCTGGGAGAGCGATGGCATGCAGGGACAGCACTGGATCCGGCTGCACATGAAGAGAGGCACTGTGGTCAAGTAAAGGCAGCTCATCTGCTAGTCACCTTTGGGACTGACTGTCTGAACTGTCATTTTGCAAGTGAAATCAGATCTGATCATTCAGACTGAGACACATTCCACAAAATCAGATTTTTATTTCATTTCAAACCTTATTATGTGTTTTTTTTGCTAATCAGACTGCAGAAAACTGTGCCAGATTTCATTCAGATTAAAAAAGCTGATCAGGAACAAAATAAACTATTTTGTTTTCTCTTCTTTTAGCAAACTGATATTAACAGTGGACTCAACAGATGATAACTACATGCCCAAAAGAGTGACTGTATATGGTGGAGAGGGAGATAATCTCAAGAAATACAGTGATGTATCAATAGATGAGTAAGTCAGCACGTGATGGAGATTTACCGCTGATTACAGAACCGGCTTTCTGACAAGATGCGCATTAAATATCGCATGCGATTTATCGTGCAGCCCTAATTATTATTTAAAGCCTAACAAACATTTTTGGTGCAATATTTTGTTTGGAAAGTGTGCTTGGGATATTTTCTTTTAAAATAAATGTCACTTTGCTATTTTGTTATCTAATGTGATAACATTCATGCATTTTTATGTGTGGTTTAAAAGTCTAATTAATTTTTGGGGCCAATTACCATTTTATATGTATAAGCTGTTGTAGAAGCACTATTTTGAAGTTATAAATATGTAGAGGTTATATAAGATTCTGAATATTATGGGATGCACTAAAGGCAGTAGTAAGAGGTAAAATGATATCCATTACATCTCTAAAGAATTACAAAAGAAACTTCTGTTCTTAAAAGAAAGATACTATGAAAATCATTAAAATTGTTATTCTACAGATTAAGGAAACAACAAGCAGATCAATAAAATCAGAAATACTCAAACCGGGGAGATACATTGTAAACTAGAGCAAATACAACAGAGTTTTGAACATTTTTATAAAGTTTTGTATTCACAACCTAAAATTAATAACGATCTGCAGATGGATTCATTTTTAGCCTCATTAGAGTTACCCACAGTGTCAGAGGAACAGAATAAATCTTTATTAGCGGAAATTACAGTGGAGGAGTTAAAAGTAGCCGTGGCCAGATTAAAGACAGGCAAATCCCCAGGGGTGGACGGCTACCCTGCGGAATGGTACAAATTCATGTTCGATCATTTGGCCCCAACTTTATAGACCTTGAAATTAAACTAAAAAGACTACAGAACGAACACAGGGCTACAATAAATCATAAGGTTAAGCAAGATATTAAAAAAACAGTTAAAGAAATAGATGAAATATATTCTAAAGAATTACAAAAGAAACTTCTGTTCTTAAAAGAAAGATACTATGAAATGGGGGGAAAATCATTAAAATTATTATTATCCTACAGATTAAGGAAACAACAAGCAGATCAATAAAATCAGAAATACTCAAACCGGGGAGATACATCGTAAACTAGAGCAAATACAAGACAGGCAAATCACCAGGAGTGGACGGCTACCCTGCGGAATGGTACAAATTCATGTTCGATCATTTGGCCCCAACTTTATTAAAGGCTTACAGTTGGGTAGTACAAAAAAGGGAAATCTTACCTTCCTGGAGAGAAGCGATTATATCGGTCATTTTAAAGGAGGGAAAAGATAAGTTGGAATGTGGTAACTATCGGCCAATTAATGTTCTAAATGTTGACTATAAGTTATTTACCTCCATTTTAGCAAGAAGATTAGAAAAGATTCTCCCAGACCTCATTCATTTAGATCAAACAGGCTTTATTTGTCAAAGGCAAGCATCGGACTACATCAGAAGAACTTTACATATTCTTAGTTTCATTTCAAATCATAATGTGGAAGCTGCACTATTGAGTTTAGATGCAGAGAAAGCCTTTGACTCCGTGAGATGGAGTTTTTTATACAAGGTATTAGCAAAATTTGGATTTCACAAGAATTTTACTGGAATGATTAGAACATTATATGATACGGGGAGACATATTGTAAACTAGAGCAAATACAGCAGAGTTTTGAAAATTTTTATAAAGTTTTGTATTCACAACCTAAAATTAATAACGATCTGCAGATGGATTCATTTTTAGCCTCATTAGAGTTACCCACAGTGTCAGAGGAACAGAATAAATCTTTATTAGCGGAAATTACAGTGGAGGAGTTAAAAGTAGCCGTGGCCAGATTAAAGACAGGCAAATCACCAGGGGTGGACGGCTACCCTGCGGAATGGTACAAATTCATGTTCGATCATTTGGCCCCAACTTTATTAAAGGCTTACAGTTGGGTAGTACAAAAAAGGGAAATCTTACCTTCCTGGAGAGAAGCGATTATATCGGTCATTTTAAAGGAGGGAAAAGATAAGTTGGAATGTGGTAACTATAGGCCAATTAGGGTTTTAAATGTTGACTACAAGTTGTTTACCTCCATTTTAGCACGGAGATTAGAAAAGATTCTCCCAGACCTCATTAATTTAGATCAAACAGGCTTTATTTGTCAAAGGCAAGCATCAGACAACATCAGAAGAACTTTACATATTCTTAGTTTCATTTCAAAACATAAGGTGGAAGCTACACTATTGAGTTTAGATGCAGAGAAAGCCTTTGACTCCGTGAGATGGAGTTTTCTATACAAGGTATTAGCAAAATTTGGATTTCACAAGAATTTTACTGGAATAATTACAACATTATATGATAAGCCTTATGCAAGGATTAAAATTAATGGAGGTTTATCAGATCCATTTAAATTAGAGCGGGGCACAAGACAGGGGTGCCCCATTTCACCACTCCTTTTTGCCATATTTATTGAACCTTTGAGCCAATGGATTAGGCAAAACCATTCAATTAAAGGGATGGATATGGGATCCGGAGAGCATAAATTAGCCCTCTTTGCCGATGATATATTGATATATATGTGCCAACCTACAAAGTCACTTCCTACACTATTTAACTTCCTTGAGGGGTATGAGGCCATATCTGGTTACAAACTGAACGTCTCAAAAACCCAAGTATTAACATTTAATTATGATCCACCTAGACAAATTAAAGAGAAATATAATTTAAAATGGGATACAAAATCAATTAATTATTTAGGAGTAAATTTGTCTGGAGACCATTCAAAATTATTTGATTTAAATGACGGTCCCTTGAATAAAATAAATAAAATCTGATTTATTACGTACGTTTATTCCTTTGTATAGTCTAAGTTCCAAAGCTGATTCAGTGCGGATGATCATTCTACCAAAATTATTGTATTTTTATAAGACACTACCAGTAGAAATTTCGAATCAACAATTTACAAAATGGAATAAATAAATATCTAGATTTTTATGGCAGGGGAAAAAACCCAGAATAAGATTTAAAACATTACTATTAAGTAAAGAAAAAGGTGGGTTAGGCCTCCCATGCTTACAACAATATTATTACGCGGCCCAATTAAGTCTGCTGGAGTAGTCCAATATATTCAGCAAGATGGATTGAAATAGAAAGAGGGATGATGTTAGAGTCTCCGTTATCTCCCCTTATTGATGATAACAAACTAAGAAGTAGAATGATTAAGGAAAGAAACCCATGGATCAATTTATTACTTAAAATTTGGCATCAAGCTAAGAAAATAGGTGGTTTGGAAGATGCATCGAAAATATTAAGATGGTGTGCCTTTGATACTGATTTTGTCCCAAACAGAATAGATGACCGATTTCGAATCTGGGCTAAGCTAGGCATTTTTAATTATTACACATTTTTCAACAAGGGCAAAATCCAAAGCTTTGAATCACTAAAGGGAAAATATGGGCTTAATCAAAATGACATCTATAGAAATCTTCAAGTGAGGCACTATATTGAATGTAATATCAAACCAGAAATATTGAAAATCACTGAGACAGGCTCAATCATGTAATAAGATTATCTCAAAATTATGTAATGGATTTCTCCAAACTGTACCCGAAAACACATTTTATGTTAGAGACAAATGGAAAATGGCAGGGAATTTTAATGTCTCAGATGAGGATTGGGAGAAAATTTGTAAAACACAATGGAAGTCTACAAGCTCAGCCATGTGGAGAGAATTTTGTTGGAAGAATGTTATTAAGTTCTTTATTACACCATCACAGAAAAAACACCAAGGGAAGGGTACTAGCTGCTGGAGATTATGTGGGGAAAAGGAAGCGAACCACTACCATATTTTTGGGGGGTGTCAGAAATTAAAAGGAATCTGGAAGCTGTTTTTGAAGTAGAGATTGTTTTTAATTGTGAATCTCTATATTTGGGTAATATAAACTTAGATGGGTGGAACAAGAAGGATAAGAAATTGTTGTTAATTCTTCTGGCGGCTAGTAAAAAAGTAATTACAAAAAAATGGCTAAAGCCAGAGTCACCCACAGTTGAAGAGTGGATTGATAAAATACATATTATATATGTGATGGAAAAATCAAGAAGATCTTTTTCATTAAGAACTCAGATAGAAGATTTTTTTCTAATTTGGAATAAATGGATAGATTATATTAAACCGGTATGCCCAGATTTTTCTTGAATTGTAACAGTTCTTTTAAGGCATCTTTTTGTATGAGTTGTAAGCAATAGCTCCCCATGTTCTTAAAATATAATGCGTATGTAATGTAACATTTGAGAAATTTGTTTTCAAGATTGAGGCTTGGAACATTCAACCAGATCAAAGTTAGTACTCTTGACTACCTCAAATTCATCTTGTGCCATTCTCTACACCTTCAGTGAATAGTTTGTGTATATGCGTACATGTTGTTCTTCATCTTTCACATCAGTTACTTAAATTATCAATGTGAAATTTGTACTTTTCTGCCCTACTTCTTCCCTTGTCTGCCATTGCTATCAGGAATTTATGTTCCAAACCTTTTTTTTTCTGTTTCCTCAAATGTTGTGCTGCTCTTAGAGCATAAAGCAGTTCCTGCTGTTGTCCAAGCGTCGCTCTGCCCTCATCACCCAGTCCCTGAAGGACTCTGAGACCAGTAAGCCTAACTTCATGCCCCGCCTTTACATCAACCGTCGCCTTGCCATGGAGCACCGTGACAATCCCACTCTGGACCCCACGTGTAAAAATGCTGTCTTCACTCAGGTAGTCCACAAAACAAGTGTCAATACGTTTACTGAATCCATTGTTCTGTGGTTGCATGAGATGCACTACTGTTCAAAAGTTGGTGTCACAAAGTTTTTTTTTTAAGAAATAAAGGCTGTATTGTTCAGCAAGAACAAATTAAATTGATCAGAAGTGGCAGTGAAGACATTTAAAATATTACAAAAGACTTCTATTTCAAATAAATGCTGTTTTCTCTATTCATCACAGAATCCTGAAAAAGTATTTCCACCAAAATATTAATTAAGCAGCACAACTGTTCTCAACATTGATGATAATAGGAAATGTTTCTTGACCACCGAATCAGTATATTAGAATCATTTTCTGAAGGATCATGTGTCACTTGACTGGAGAAATGGGTGCTGAATATTCACAAAAGTTGGTGTCACAAAGTTTTTTTTTTAAGAAATAAAGGCTGTATTGTTCAGCAAGAACAAATTAAATTGATCAGAAGTGGCAGTGAAGACATTTAAAATATTACAAAAGACTTCTATTTCAAATAAATGCTGTTTTCTCTATTCATCACAGAATCCTGAAAAAGTATTTCCACCAAAATATTAATTAAGCAGCACAACTGTTCTCAACATTGATGATAATAGGAAATGTTTCTTGACCACCGAATCAGTATATTAGAATCATTTTCTGAAGGATCATGTGTCACTTGACTGGAGTAATGGCTGCTGAATATTCAGCTTTGTCATCACAGGAATAAATTACATTTTAAAATATATTAAATAATATAAGTTATTTAAAATTATAATAATATTTCACAATATTACTGTTTTTACTGTATTTTCAAACATAAATACAGCCTTGGTGAGCATAAGAAATTTTTAAAAGCATTTTTAAAATCCTCTCGACCACAAACATTTGAAGGGTGATTTAGAGTGAATATTCGAGTATTATTAGAGTATTAGTAGACTGGTAGGGTTAGGGTTAGAATAAGTTGACATGTACTTGCAAAGTTACTTATAGTCAGTAGAATGTCTGTTGGGAGACCATGACAATAAAGAGTTAGCAGATATTAAGCAAACAGTCTACTAATACTCTGATGAGAGTTAGTAGACATGTAGGTGCAACATTACTTATTGTCAACAGAATGTTCAAAAGGGACCATCAAAATAAAGTGTTACCATATTCTTTATTGTTTATGCAGGTGTATGAGGGTCTGAAGCCGTCTGACAAGTATGAGAAGACTCTGGACTACAGGTGGTTGTTTTTTAGAATTCCAGAAGTTGTTTTATAGTACTTGCTGTTTTTAACAGGGATGCGCCGATCCGATATTCATATAGGGTATCAGCTCCGATAGTGCCATTTTTTTTTTTTATTTTTCTTTATAATGAAGTAGTCTTTATCTAGTAGATTGTGAAAGAATGATTATCAGTTCCACACACAGAGATATATAAATTCTACAATTATTTAAATGAGGGAAAAAAACTTCACTGGTATCGGATCGGTATCAGCCAATACCGAACTCTAGGTATCGGAATCGGTATCGGAGGCGAAAAGGGGTATCGGAGCATCCCTAGTTTTTAAATAGTCAAAATGCTTCATAACACATTAGTTATGATTGACACAAATATTTTTCTCTTTCTTACAGGTGGCCAGCACGATATGACCAATGGTGGGAGTGTAAATTCATTGCAGAAGGCATCATTGATCAAGGTCACACAGAGATAAGCTTCCTCACACCCACAATAATTCTCATGTCTGCAATAAAACGCTATATACTCACCTGAAATTTCTGTCTTATAGGTGGTGGTTTTCGCGACAGCCTGGCAGACATGTCTGAAGAGCTTTGTCCCAGCTCATCAGAGTGCCCCATGCCACTTCCATTCTTCACACGAACTTCTAACCAGGTAACAACTAACTTGACTTCACTCTAATGTAACGGACAAGGTAGTTATTAACTTATCATAATATAATGATTAAACTGTTTTTGGATCAGGGGGCTGGAGAGGCCAGAGACTTCTATGTGCCAAATCCTTCATGCCGAGAATTCCACAAGTTTGAGTGGATTGGGCAACTAATGGGTGCAGCTCTTCGCGGAAAAGACTTTCTGGTGAGTGCTGGTCTTGTGTGTAATTGCATTGGGACTTTTGTGTTAATTGAACATTCTGTAGTGAATGAGATTTCATAATATTTATTATTTAGGTTCTGGCTTTACCAGGGCTGGTGTGGAAGCAGCTGATTGGAGAAGCAGTCAGCTGGACTAAAGACTTTCCTGCAGTAGATTCAGTGCTGGTAAGAAGCCCAAACATCTCTCCCTCAGTCCTATCTTTGCATCTAGGTGCTGACTAGTCCTTGGTCAGAGGGGAACTGGTCATTCGATTGAGCCTGGTTTCTCCCAAGGTTTTTTCCCTCCATTTCTGTCACCTAATGGAGTTTGGGTTCTTTGCCACAGTCTTCTTTGGCTTGCTTAGTTGGGGATTAAAAGACAATTATTAGGGATGCACAGTATTATCGGATTGATATCGGAATCGGCCGATAATGGCTTTAAATGTAAATATCGGCATCAGCATATATGAAAAATGATGCCAATATGTCTTGCCTATAAGAGAAATATGTTAATTCACATGTGCTCAGGGTGTGCTAGTGATTAGATCACGTCAACAGTGTGGCTCATTCTTGAAGCAAAGTTTTGTCTGAATGATGATTAGATTGACTCTTTTGGATCGCTGTAAACCGTAATAGAACGTGCAGCTGCAGCAGTGACAGCCTCCCCCAGGTCCTAACGCCTGTTCGGTAAGGAGTTTTAATCTGTAGGGGGCGCTGTTGGACTATTAATTAAATTAAAAGTAAAATAGAGTGGTGGAACTATGATGCCACTTTGTAGGCAAAAACACGGAAGCGAGTTAGCATTTTAGCACTTCCGGTTCCATCGTCCCAGAGTCGATGGGTTTTTTGAATGGGATTTTGGTTAAATCCCTTAAAATAAGGTCCTTGGTTCACACAAGCTCAAGATACTTTAGCGTTTTATTCTACGACATAAAACACACCAGTTACACCCCACTCGTGATTTTTTTACAAACTGTTACGTTTCTTAAAAAAGACGGTTGCTAACAAGATGCTAAATGGGACTACAGGTGCTGTCGGAGACATTAAACATCACGCCGAACAGTTGATCAATTTACAGTATTTTCCAATCGTAGTACAATTTATTGTAGATTAACCAATTAATAGTTTCCCGCATTTTATATTGTTGTTCAACAATGTTTTTTTTTTTTGCCCCGTAATGCAACACAAGTCTTCAGATGGAAGATGCTCGTTTTATCGCTTTCCTACTGATGTATCCCAGCGGAGACTCTGGGTTCGCACCGTAAGGTAAACTCATATTACGATTATTCCATGTAAACACCACATTTACCGGCTTAGTCCCGGTGAAAGTGAAACTTTAACGATGCATAGTGCTTAAAGCCACGTTAAAATTAAATGTTTATGGCCACATGAAGCTGTTATAGATTGAGGATTTTCTTGAAGCAAGGATAAAATAACATTTTGTGTAGCCACCCTAACAAAATGATAGCTCAAATAAGTTTAATCTTACCATATCCAAAAACTCGCTCACTCTGCTGTTATTTAATAGATTAAATGCACTAGAATTTTATTGAATATTTATTGACTTTTAATGCACCTTATTTCGAAATGTAGCCTACAGAAATACGTGCTTTCATATGTCCTTTAGTTATGATTATTTCATTTATTCACTATACTATTTATTACTAATGTCTCATTCCAGTTTTAGTTTGGCTCTAGTTTTGTATTTATTCCAGTTTATATGAAAAGGTTCATGTAGCATGGATTAAAATTCATATACAGAGTAAATCATTTTCACTGAACGTGTTAAAAATAAGTTTGAAAAAGTTGTCGGGAGCAGGTGGTGGTGACGTTGAAGGCGAGCGACCGTGGTGCTGTAGTTCGTTTATAGCCTAAGTTTAGCTTTTAAGTTCTGGCACTTTTATTTAGGCTTCAAAATTCATAAAAGTTATATTATTTTGTGAAGATTATCTTGATGGACAAAACGTGTAAGTTTCATGAACTATGGTTGAACACAGAGCTTATTTTTTGCGATAATCCAAAAGCCTATGGAAAAATCCTATTGGCTTTTTGTTGAGGGAACCAGTGATGTTAACAGCCGATCCGCCTACAAACTGACGTCATAGTTCCCCCACTCTATAGTCTACACATATAACATTTAGACTGTTTCTTCCTTTAAATGTTAATGAGCTCTGCTGACCCCGCCCCTCTCTTCAGAGCTGCTCTCAGAGAGACTGTTTACTAGTGATGGGAAGTTCGGATCATTTTACCGACTCGGACCTTTGAGTCTCGTTTAGCAAAATGAACGAATCTTTTTTTCAAGTCATTTCGTTCATTTTAGCAAAATAGAATTAAAATGTTACGCGTTACTTCCCTAACACGTCTACTACTTACGCAAACGTTGATCACACTACACACAATACAAAACTGCTATAAGAAACAGAAAAGATTAATTCATTGTTTACCTGGGTCTTCAGTCTATGATTAGCTCACCTCACCTCTTATCTGACAAGTCTTCGGGTTTGAGTGACTGCATTGGTTAAACTTATGGGGCTGTCACGTGATGAACGAACGACTCTAACCCGAAGACTCAAGATATGAACTAATCAATTCTCTTTCTGGCTCAAACTGCATTGGTTAAACGCGAGTTCAGCGGCTCAGATGTCGGGAGTAAATGACGGCTGCTATGTTCATTATTACATCGAACAACAAAACACCTCAATCGCTTGTTAGGAGTCATTCATGTCTACATCTGCTCCGACGGTGAAACAGTGGCGGACTGATGACAGCTCACTCAGGGCGGGTCTAAGGTAAGACACCAATCCAATCTGTGCTGAAACGCTACTGTCAATCAAACTATCGTGGGAGGGGCCTGTCTGTGTGACGTCACATAGACAGGCATCTGAGATCGGCTCGATTTGAGAAAGGGGAAAACACTTAACCAGATTTTTAAAAAAAACACTGGGTGGATTTTTATCATTATAAGGTGGTTGTGTACACACACTGCCAACACACATTTCAGTTCAAACAACTTGTAAAAGTGCATGTAGCATCCTATGACCCCTTTAAAATAAAATGTTAGGGTTAACACTGCATCTTTCTGGGGAAAAAAATGCAGTGATTGATATATACAGAGGGTTAAATAAGTATTGAACACGTCACCATTTTTCTCAGTAAATAGATTTCTAAATGTGCAGTTGACATGAAATTTTCACCAGATGTCAGTAACAACCCAAGTAATCCATACATGCAAAGAAAACAAAACAAATAAGTTCAGAAATTAAGTTCTGTGTCATAAAATAGAATGACCCAGGGGAAAAGTATTGAACACGCTTACTGAAATTTATTTAATACTTTGTACAGAAGCCTTTGTTGTTAATGACAGCTTCAAGACGCTTCCTCTGTATGGAGAAACTAGTCGTGAATTTTGCCAGTGCCACACCATGATGTTTTTGGGGTGATGTGCCGTGCCATTTGACCTCGAAACATGGTGTGTATTATGGCATCCAAATAGTTTAATTTTGGTCTCATCTGACCAGACTATATTCTCTCAGTATTTCACAGACTTGTCTAAATGTGGTGCAGTAAACTTTAATCGAGCTTCAACATGCTTTTTCTTCAGCAATAGAGCCTTGCGTGGTGAGCGTGTATACAGGCCACGGCGGTTGAGTGCATTACTTATTGTACTTATTATTTTCTTTGAAACAATTGTACCTGCTAAGTCCAGGACTTTCTGAAGATCTCCACAAGTGGTCCTTGGCTCTTAGAAATCTCTTCTGATCATTTTTTTCACTGCTCTGTCAGAAATCTTGCGAGGAGCACCTGGTCGTGGCCGGCTTATGGTGAAATTATGTTCTTTCCACTTCCGGATCATGGCCCCAACAGTGCTCACTGGAACATTCAGAAGCATAGAAATCCTTCTGTAACCAAAGCCATCAGTATGTTTTGCAACTAAGGTTGTGAAGGTCTTGAGATAGCTCTTTGCTTTTACCGATCATGAAATGTTTCTTGTGTGACACGTTGGTCATGAGACACCTTTTTATAGGCCATCAGTTGAGACTGAACCAGCTAATATTAATATCCAGTGACTAGGGGCAGGATTGCTTTCTAATTACTGATAGATTTCTGCTGGTGTCTTGGATTTCCATGCCTTTTTGCACCTCCCTTTCTTCATGTGTTCAATACCTTTTCCCTGGGTCATTCCCATTTATTACACAGAACTTAATTTCTGAACTTATTTGTATTGTTTTCTTTGTATGTATGGATTACTTGGGTTGTTACCGACATCTGGTGAAAATTTCATGTCAACAGCACCTTTAGAAATATATTTACTGAGAAAAATGGTGACGTGTTCAATACTAATTTTACCCGCTGTAGATTATTTATAGTTATTTTCAAAGCTTCAATGTATTGTCACAAAACCTTCATTATTGTTCATTTAATTCTAACAAATAAATTCTTGTTAAAAACTAACCAAAATTAAAAATATTTTGCACAGGAGAGACATGGTGTTGTTTCCAAACAAAAGGAAATATATCGGTATCGGCCAAAATGAGTTGAAAAATATCAACATATTGCCAAAAATCCAATATCGTTCATCCCTAAAAATTATTATACAGTTGAATTATCAATTTGACTGCTCTGCCACTATAAGATGAGAACAAAACAACTTGAACTGAATTGAGCTGAATTATGTATGACACTATTGTCTTCTGTAGAGCTCCTTTATACCTGAATCAAAATTATTTGTACTGAATAAAGAGCTAAATGTGACTTGATTTAACCAACGTGTAATCAGTGGAACTGATGAAACATGATTCCTTAGGTGAAGTTGTTGGAGGCTATGGAGCATATGGACAAGGAGACATTTGATTTTAAGTTTGGCCAGGAGCTTGTGTACACCACACCCCTGAGTGACGGGCGGCTGGTGGAGCTGATCCCAGGAGGCAGTGGAGTGGTGGTCCGATATGAAGACCGCATGGAGTTCATATGCCTGGTACAGAAATCCAGACTAGAAGAGAGTAGGGAACAGGTAATACTACATTACAAAGTATATTGAGACTATTATAAATGGGATCAACAGAAAAAGTTTTATATTTTATTTTTTTTTACTAAACATCTAGTTTTTTTCGATCAGTCCGTAAAATTCTGTGCTGTGTTTCTGTGTTCAGATTGCTGCCATGCAGGCAGGACTGGTGAAAGTGGTGCCGCAAGCTGTGCTTGATCTCCTGACATGGCAGGAAGTAGAGAAGAAAGTGTGTGGAGACCCAGAGATCACAGTGGAGGCCCTTAAACGCCTCAGTGAGTCATACAGCAGCTGACATGAGCATTAAATAATTGATATTCTCTGCCTCAGCATGCATTCTTCAAGGCACTGAACCGAATAGTGGATGAAACTGAAAATATTACAGCTCTGTACAGCAGTCATTCTCAACTTGTTTTACTTTAGGTCCCAAATTGAAATTGGATTTCAAGTGGCACATTACCAAAATAGTGTGTTTTGTTAGGATTTTATGTCAGTGTTTGCTAATGGAATGCAATGTAATGTAATGCATTTTTTTACTTTCTATCAGCACGCTATGAAGACTTAGAACAAACAGATGTCAGAGTGCAGTACTTATGGGAAGCCCTGATGAACTTCACCAATGGTTAGTAAGGATCCTTGGTGTACATGAAACGACTATTTCTAGTAATTTGCAAAAGGAAGTACATAATTTTCCTTTTTTGATTTATTTACATATTTACCAGAGGATCGCAGCAGGTTTTTGAGGTTTGTGACTGGGAGAAGTCGTCTTCCTGCTCCGATTTATATCTTCCCAGACAAACAAGGGTGAGTTATGGAGAAGATAACAGTGAGATCACATGCATTTAGGATGTGGTCTGAATAAACATTAAACAAATGCATTTTTGTCTAGATCCGAAACCACAGATGCACTTCCTCAATCTTCCACATGTTCCAGCACCCTTTATCTACCCAAATACCCAAGGTCTGTTTATATAATCTAATATTTATGTGAGCAGTTGGTCTTTTCTGATGCATAATAACTAATTAAAATGTCCCTTTTTTACTGCTTTGTGATCCGCAGTGCTAAAGTTTGTGAAGAGAAGCTTCGCTATGCTGCATATAACTGTGTGGCCATCGATACAGACATGAGCCCTTGGGAGGAGTGACCTGATTTTGCCATGTTTACACATTTTAATTTGGCATAAATGAACTGTAGCCTTCAGCACTGTGTTCATGACCATGCCTACACTATTGCCAATTACATCTGTACAGTATAAATAAATGTTATAAACAATACCTGGTTTGCAATTCTTTCAAGCCTATAAATCAATAAAGTCTGAGATCGCTCAGGACAATTTCTATTTAGAATTTTTATTTTCTAATGTAATACAAAACTTAATATGAATTTTTTGTCACCCTTTTGCTTTACTGACAGCAGCACTCAATCTACATGAACTTCATAAGTGTCCTCAATTACAGCCATGGTTTTTTTTTTCTTTTTCTTGAGGTGAATGTTGTTTCTTCTAGGCTGGATGTCAGTTAACTGGCCCACTGTCACGTAGGTGGCTTTTCTGAAAAGAACATTGTTCATGGGCTTGTTATGAGCAATATCAAAGAAGACGTTCTGGTAAAATTGTATATACATAAACATAAAGTACTTGAGAGTGAAGCCTAGGTTTTGTGTATTTTACGAGTGTCTTTCTTATACAAAAGCCCTCAAAATGATTAAGAAAAGAAAAGAAAAAAACAAACAATGCAGTAAAATGTCTTGCCATAATAGGATAATATGATTTACAAGAAAAGCCCTGGCCCTTTTCTTTTATGCACCTAAATCTACTGTTGCAAAAATATATTCTTGTTGACAAGTTGTTTGTACAAAATGTTCAATAAAAAAGAAACAATCAAACAATTATTATTAATTATTAATTTAGCAGAATGCTTTAAATCGATTGACAGTACACTTACTACACTATGTAGGACCTTTGGTTCGGCAAATTTGTGACTTAAATTCTTAAATATGTAGTATCAAATTATTTATGTATGTGTGTACAAAACACTGGAAATGCTCGGCATTATAAACTACTAAACGCGTGGTGGCAGTGAAGTGTTTTCCCTCTGAGCCAGAAGAACTACTCTCGCGGTTTCTCCGGGTATTCTCGCGATATGTGGTTGCTTGAAACCCGCCCATGAGCCTATGCGAGCCCTCTTTCTAGCCGGCGTCTGAGAATGGGTATGTGTTTTCAGATTCTGGTCGCTGGAACAATCCGTCTTCATCTGCGCTATCCGATGATGCTTTTAATTAAACTCACTCAGTGCTAGATCACAAAGGTAGATTTCAAGTGATATAGTGGCAAATTGGACGAGTCAATGCCTTTAAAAACGTTTTTACGGGAAGAGATTGGGAAAGTGGCTGGAGACATTGCTCAAGATGGCTGCGCGCATGGGGTACTATACTCTCAAACAGCGTTAAGAGTGCTAATAAGGCTGGTAGTTGTACTCCGAGGCGCATACAAGGCGGATTTATTCGTAGATAAATGATTTTGTGTTTGAGAAGTGTAATTTGGATGAGAAACTAGCTAGCACCAGAGGCTAAACGGGTAGTAGATGCATGTCAACCACTGGAGGCTGCATGGCCAGCTAACGTGAGCTGAAAATTAGGCTTGGGTAACATTAGCTTGTAAATGTTAACCAACTAACGTTTGCTTCATATTTCTCGATACAAACAGTTTCAACTAAGTTTACCAATGTGTTATTTGTGAAGTTGGATCTAATGACATCTAAACTTAGCTTATCGCTAAAGCTTATCGCTAATCTTTTAAAAGCAATTGTTACGAATCTGCTGTTTGACACATCACACATTGTGCTGACACAAAAAAAATGGGATGTTGTGTACTCGCCCTTGTTCCACACCTGGATGATTCTCTTTCATGTTACATGTTACAACTACAAAAATAGTTATTAGGCAAGATGACTGAGGGTTATGTTCTTTCTATGGGGAAGTTGTACAGTTGTGGAACAAGATGAGGGCAAGTAAATAATTTTTGGTTAAATTATGCGTTTGAGTGTGCATGATGAATCCAATTGAATCCGATTTTTCATGCGGATAAACACCTTGGAGAACTGAACACTCAAGTATGCTGTGAAAGGGATTGATTTAATTTCATTCAGATTTGTTTCTAATGCGTCTCCATCTCTTTACACTAAAGGTATCTCAAGGGACAACTGGCACAAACGCCGCAAGACTGGTGGCAAACGCAAGCCCGTCCACAAGAAAAGGAAATATGAGCTCGGGCGTCCTCCCGCAAACACCAAGGTAAATCTAACTTGAAAGTACTTTGCTATCAGAATCAGTATCTCTTTGCGACAATGTGGGTGATGAAAACACGTCCTTAGGTTGGTCATTTTTGGCCGTTTTGGTCAAAGCCTTTGACCTCCCAATGTTAGGATTAGTCATAGTTACGCTGACACATGGCTGAGCTCAAAATATGTCTTCACTGGTGTCACATTATATAAACTCATATTTGTGTGGCTCTCCATAGATTGGACCTCGCCGCATCCACACAGTAAGAGTCCGTGGTGGAAACAAGAAATACCGTGCCTTGAGGCTCGATGTGGGCAACTTCTCATGGGGCTCAGAATGTAAGTTCTGATAAATGTTTTGTGCTGCTTATATATGTGTAGCTCTTTCAATGAAGAAAATCTGTCCAGTTCTGCTACTGAATGTGCTTGATGGATATCATTTAGTTTTCTGAGAAAGACACATTCGACCTGATCTTTAATGCATTTGCTGAGCTTTTATTGGATGTTTCATTAGAGGTGGTTTTGATATTTCAGGCTGTACCCGCAAGACTAGGATCATTGGTGTAGTCTACAATGCCTCTAACAATGAGCTGGTGAGAACCAAGACCCTGGTGAAGAACTGCATTGTTCTTGTGGATAGCACTCCTTACAGACAGTGGTATGAGTCTCACTACGCTCTTCCACTTGGCAGGAAGAAGGGTGCCAAGCTGGTAAGTTCAATCAGTTTTCTTTATTAAAGTGTAGGGTGTTTAATGATAGTCTTTCTTTGATGATAACATTGTCCAGTTCTGCTACTGAATGAAAGTGATGCAGTTTAAGACTCTGAGGAAGGCTTGTAGTTACAAACTGTCAATACCGAAAACATGCACCGTAATCAGTATATGGCTAATTCTCATTTGTTGTCAAACCAGACCCCTGAGGAAGAGGAAGTCCTGAACAAGAAGAGGTCGAAAAAGGTCCAAAAGAAGTTCGATGAGCGCAGAAAGACCAGCAAGATCAGTTCTCTGTTGGAGGAGCAGTTCCTGCAGGGGAAACTTCTTGGTAAGTTGTGTTTTAAGGTCTTAATGTGACATCGATGTGATCGTGATGAAACTTTAACCAGTTCTGCTGCTGAAACAACAGTGCTGAAGTTATACCATTTCTGATAACCACTGAAATGCTGCCTGCAGTGACACTGCTCGTCAGTTTTAAGTGTTCTTAATCTATGGGTTTGTGTTTCTCCTCAGCCTGCATTGCCTCCAGACCAGGACAGTGTGGCAGGGCTGATGGCTACGTCCTTGAGGGCAAAGAACTGGAGTTCTACCTGAGGAAGATTAAAGCCAAGAAAGGCAAATAAATGTACAGCTCTCTTTGATACGACCATTAAAGAAAATACCCCACCTCAGCATGTCGCTGCTGTTCTCATTTTGTACAACAGTGTTCAGTTGTCTTGCAAAAGCTTTTGATTAGAAAGTTGGATTAGCTGAGAAGAGACTTGTGACATCTTGCAGTAGTTTCTGGTGTTGCAATGAGTATTTTCCATCCTACGCATATTTTATTGAAAGCAGGATTGAGAAAGTTAAGCAGCTGCATTTGTTCTGCATTAACTGGTTATAACCTCCTAGAAAAAAAAACAAGTGCTAAAGTGCTTTTAATTTTCTGTATGAAGTAGTCATTGCAATACTTGTGTACATTTCTTAAATCGATTACACATCTCTGCATGTTATATCTAACATGTTTCATTTTGAATGGTAAGCCATGGAAAGTAATGGCTTAAAAAAAAAAAGACAATCCTTAAAACAAGCTATGTAATTTCAGAGGCAAGTAATAACTAAAGATTATCTACAGTCTTTGGTTTATGCGGTTTTAAGAAATTGGTTAATATATCAAGTATGATTAAATCAATGACCGCATTATATAGGTTAATGTCAACTTCTATATTTTAAAATTTGAGTATATTTGCAAATTATTTAGATTAATAAATGCTGTTCATCGTTATTCACTGGATGAGTCAAGTTTACTATTTACCTTTAGCTTTAGTTAACTTTTAAAGTAAAAACTGAAATATTTTAAAATATTTATTCCCTGATAGAAGAACTGAATATTTAGCTATCATTCCTCAGTCTTCACATTATCCTTCAGAAATCATTCTAATATGTTGATTTGGTGCTCAAGTGACATTTATTGTCAACTGTTTTGCAACTCAATATTTTTGTGGAAACTGATGCATTTTTTTCAAGATTCTTTAAAAGAACAACATTAGAAATCCTAACATTAAAATTTCTTGGTAACACTTTATTTTAAGGTGTCCTTGTTACACGTTTCATGTGCTTACTATTACAAGAACAATAAATTATGCATAATTACATGCAAATAACCCTAATCCTAACCATATAGTAAGTTGTTTCGTTAATATTACTCTGTACTTAAATATATAATTACACTGTAACAAGGACACCTTAAAATAAAGGTGTCGCATGAACAATTTAGTGCATCCAAAACAATTTCGAAAGTGTAAGCAGGGATGAGGGTTCAAATATTGCAGCATGTATCCTCTCATCCTTGACTGTCCAAAAAAATACTTGCAAAGCAAAACCTGACTGGGTAGTTACACATTTATCTATGGCTCTTGGTTTGCTTGTCCCGTAGTTCCAGGTGACCCCAAGAGTTTATCATGGCAGACGTGTTGAATAGTCATGTGTTGTTGCTGCAGTGGTGATGGGATGCTGCTCTTGGAAGGCTGTTCAAGCCTCGAGCGCTCACCCTTACATTTAGATCTGCAGCAAAGACATAATTGTTGCAAGCTCTTGTTCTTCTGCTTTTTTATTTTGTGTGTAGTCGGCCACACATTGATGGCAAGCATTTGTGTCTTGGGGGTTGGTAAAGGTTCCTCGTTATCATCCTCAAGGATCCTAATAAATACAGAATACCAAAGTCAATAATGTATGAAATCTAAGAATAGTTCACCCGAAAATGAAAATTGTGGCATTAATTACTACCCTCATGTAGTTCCAAAC